TCTCTCTCTCTCTCTCTGTCCCCCCCTCTCTCCCCCTCTCTCTTAAAAAAAAAAAAAAAAAAAAGAAGGGAAAGGGCAGAAAAGGTGTGGGTTGAATTGTAACCCCAGAAATGATATGCAAAAGTCCTAACCCCTGACACCTAGGAATATGAACTTATTGTAAGTAAAGTCTCTGCAAATACAATCAAGTTCAGCTGGGTGCAGGGGTGCACACCTGTAATCCCAGCAGCTTGGGAGGCTGAGGCAGGAGGATTGCAAGTTAAAGCCAGCCTCGGCAATTTAGCGAGGACCTATGCAACTCAACAAGACCCTGTCTCTACATAAAATACAAAATAAGGCTGGGGATGTGGCTCAGTGGTCTAGTGCCCCTGAGTTCAATCCCTGGTAACAACAACAACATATATATATATGAAATCAAGTTCATCTGGAACTCAATTAAGGTGGGCTGCTAAAGCCACCAACTAGGCCTTGGAGACATGAAGACATAAAGACGACAGGAGGGAGATGGCCGAATAAGACAGAAGCAGAGATTGGAGTAACACCGTAGAAAGGCAAGGAGCGTCAAGAACAGCTGACAGCCACAGAAGCAGGCAGAGGCCAAGAGTCTCCCCAGAGCACTCAGAAGGAGCACGGCCCCTGCTGACCCCTTGATTTCACACTTCTAGCCTCCAGAATTGAAGAAAAAATAAACTGATATTGTTTTAAGCCATCTAGTTTGTGATAATTTGTTATAGCAGCACTAGGAAACTAATACAGAAAGCTTCTAGGTGAGGTGAGCCTGGAGTTGAAGCTGGAAAGGCAAGCAGGTTTCACCAAGAGAAAGGAACGACATTCTAGGCAGAGGAGATCATTTAGCAAAGGTGAGCAGCCATCAAACAGATGGGCGTGTTCAGAAAACAAAGTATGCTGCTCAGTGTGGCCAGGGCACCCAGTGCAAGAGATGGAGAAAGTGGAAGTGATACAGTGTGTTTGCCTTGTTACAGAGTTTGGACTTAACCCTGTACATGCTGGGGGCCATTAAATGGTTTTTGTGTAGAGGAGAGAGGCAACTTGGTATTTGATCAGACAGCAGAGGAGTCAGAACACAGCAGTAAGACCCGGAAGAAGGCAGCTGTAATGCAGGTGAGAAAGGGAGGGTAGAAAGGAGTCAAGGAGGCAGAATGAGCAGGGCTTGGAAGTAATAGAAATAACAATGGACAAACAACAGA